GATTCATTGTTTACAGTTCCCCTGTACGATGTAATACGTGTAATGATTTATCTAAAATACGATAATTTTTTGAAAACATGCTATTTATTGTTGCTAAAATCAAGACGTGTGGAAGCAGTGTAGGATACCTTCCGCTCCATTTGGTATTTACATCACACATCCGCTTGCCAAGCGTGGCTGTTATTGTAAGTCCCTTCTAGTATGAGAGAGGTCTACGTTCACCAGTGGACTGTTAGGGGTTGATAAAAAAAAATCACAACTGTACTGCATTTTTGTTACTAAGGGCGCTTATAAAGCGATGTTTTCATACAAGACGTCTCTGATACACGCAACTTATTGATTTACTAGCTGATACCCGCGACTTCGTCCGCGTTGCTTACACACATCACTGAACACGTAGTGCTTATAAAAATCGTTGTTTCTTAAAACTTTAATAACTTTATATTAAATGAAGATTATATTTTTTTATATATAAGGGCCAAGTATCTAAGAAATAAAACTTAGAAAACCTAATTGGTAATCTATCTAGAAGTTTTTCCATGATACGCGCACAACTCCAAGCCTCTATCACTTTAGTTATATAGAATATGTTTTAAACGCTTAATGGCGGCGTAAGAATTTCCACTACCCGTAAGAGGCGACGAGGAATCTGAAACAGGAGACGGGTAGCAGCATCTTTCTGATAGGAATTAAAAATAAACTGCCGTTGCCGACCTACATGCCAAGCGTGGCAACCATGGCAAAATGCACTCTTTGAGGCAGTTTCTAGTGGAAGCCTGAATCCAGCAGTGGACTTTTTATGGACAGTAAAGATGAGTGATTTTTTTATTGATTATGTCTAAGAGCCGTTTGGATAATATGCTTGATATTTGTTATGTTTTCCTAGTACATATTTTAGTATGACAAGGTGATACGAACAAAATATAATTTGAATTTTTAATATGACGTCCTGCCCGACCGATTGCGTTTGCATACAATTTGATTAGTTCCAAATTCCGAATAGAGACAAAGGAGTCGGCGGAATCGTGCGGCGTGTATAGAAGGCATTTTTTTAATGCGCACACAATCGAAAGTGATCGCTTTGCATGCGTCCGCTGTTGGCGGCGACGCGACGCGCATACGATGCCGCCTCGCTGCTGTTTTTTGCATCTTTATATTCGGAGCACTGACCTTGTGCAATGTCAAATAGCTGAGGACAGGCGCGCCAACGCGATGGATGCCCGATGCATCGCTATGCCAACTGGTTCCGCCCGATAGGGACGCCACGTATCTGTTTCTTTTACTTTTATCGAAGTGTTACCATCGTAAATCCCTTTTCCATCCTTTTACGTAAATATTTTTCTTTCAAAAAGTTTTTAGTATAAAATAAATAATATATTGAATATACAATTGAAAACATAAACGAAGAAATGCTCATATTTGAAAGGCTTATAGAGCAACTCGTTCATCGCACAGCTCCAGTGGGTTACAAAGCATTAGTCCGTCGCGCTGCCCTCTCAGAGGTCTGTGCCCAACAGTGGGACGTATATGCGGTTAATTTACTTTTGAAATACGTGTTGGTGGACGTCACAAGTCCTCGAAATATTTTGTGCTTTACACATTTGTTTTGTTTTACTTTACTCAATCAAAATTGCAAGTAACAATTTTATTGGTGTCCGCAGGGATCGAACCCAGATTACTCTCGTAGTGTGAAATTTGCGGACAGCGCCCTGACTCGACATAAAATACAATACTATAATTTATTGTTCTAGTTTGCGTCATTTTTCATTTATGCTTAATATAATTTTTAAAGGTATTCATTAGAAGCAGCGACGGTGAGTGTAAAATAATTTTAGTACGCAAAGGAAGTTGCGCGCGCAAAAGGTAACGAAGATTCGACAGTATGAAGATTAAAATGTGACTAAGTTCACTCATCACAATTTAAAAATAAATAACTGTTCCAGATTCAGCTAAAATTAAAATTTGATTTTTAGTCTGTTAAATGATTTTTTTTATTGATAAATTTTACTGGTATCATATTGAAATTTGGTAATCACGATGAGATTAGAATAGAAAAACATTTACACGCACCCAATTATTATTATATATCAACCATATCTAAGAAATATCTTTTGAGAGCTGTCAGATTTATTGTACTAGGCATGGCAACCAAAAAATCGGTACATACAATATTCTTAAGAAAAATCGATATCGATTCTTTAGAGTTGGTAATCTTTTACAGTTTTGTTTCGATTAATACCACAATAAAAAGAAAGTAATTTTGGGTTTAATGTTATTTACGATGAATACTTAGAATACTACTAATCATTCAAAACATATTAAAACACAATCTTATCACCGCGCTTTTCTGTCTGTTGTACTTTTAAGAGACTACTTTGGTAATGATGACTTTGGTAATAATAAATGCAGGGGCATTTTACTTTGCGCCTTACACAATCCGTTTAAAACATCTTTCTTACTATTTAGCGTTTAAAGGTAATTTTATAAGTGGACATATTATTCCTTGTTCATATTGGCTTTAATTATATTTCTTTAATTACGGTAGTGGTGTTTGGGATCTATATTCACTAATCACTCAATACATGTAAAATATAGTCTCTACGCCTCGTCTGTATGTCTGTGCAATATATTTTTCCGGAACCATTAAAAGGATTTTCCATCAATTTTAAACTACCTATAAATGTTAGTTAACCTAAACAGCTCCTTGGCGCAATGGCTTAGCAATGAGTTGCATTACAGGATGCTTCTGCGATACAGGAGAAAATCCTAGTGTGGGGGTAACGTTTTTTTTAAAAAGAAGAATGTTGAATGTACCACCATATTATTATTGTAGTAATCTGTGTATTATAAGGAATAAATTGACAAGCATTTTGCCAAGTCACTATGCATATAATTATTAGATTTTATATAAAAGGTTATTTTAAATCGTGTGAGTACGATTGTACAAAGTTATTGTGGAACGATTAATGTGAAACGTGAAAAGGTATTTCTTAGATTTGGTTGAGTAAAATATTACTTTCATTGATTGCATATTGTACGAAATAAAACGAAGTTATTTCCATAATATGATTAATATATTATTATGTAGTGTTCAAAAGAAACGTCAAAATGTCATATGCATAGCAGATTAAAGAGTTTAATGAACGTGTTATTACAAAGTGCAAATTAATTTAAGCAGTTAGCTGCAATAAAAAGATTAGCGACAAAATATAACCAGTGTTTTAAAGTATTCTGGCAGAAGTTAATTCGGTACTGCAATTAATTGTGTTGTTTATAAAGTCTCGCGTAAGAGAGAATAACCCACCTGATTTTCTTGTACAAATCGTGTTGGATGTACAAAAAAAAAAATATAGCCGCGCAGCTGAATAATTTGTGCATTTAATGGGTCGATTTAAAATTTCAGAGAGATGGCCAATTGGCTCTTGTCCAGTGCAGTAAGCACGCCCCGGAAGCAGGTATAGGACGCGCGTGCATTGGCGGCAATATCAATGTCACATTTGATATATTTTTCATCTACTTTTTATTTATTAGCCTGTAGGAGTCAACTGATGAATGCCTCTACCGTTGTAGATAGCATTCGTCTTAAAAACGCTTGGAAGACGTCTCGAGCCTTTGACACTAAAGCCCGTCGCCAGTCTGATTATTTCATGTCTTTTGTGAACGAGATGGCTATACTATCATCTATCGATTTGTATTGATTATGTTGGTCTAGTGGTCGTAGACGCGTTTGCTGATCAGGTCCTAGGTTGAAATCCCGGGTGGGGCAAAATCAGTCATTGGATTTTTCTGTCAAGTAGTTCTCAATAGCAGCCCGAAGGCAGAAAATTGGCGGTGTTTCGCCCCCGTGCCTCGGAAAGAACGTAAAGCGGTTGGTGCTGCGCCTGATCACTCTCCAGTCGTGTCGGATTACCGTTCCATTGGACTATGAGAGAGAGGGATTAGAGAGTGCTAGGGCATACACTCGGGTACTATAATCCTCTCCTGCGCAGATGGCTAGATTCCGTTGAGACTGCCGCCGTGACTTAAATACGATTTGGGGGACGTTATCATCAGTGGGACGTATATACTTAGCTGTTTCGTTACTTTACTTTTTTTACTATAAACATTAACAATTTTCTCATCGAATGTCACGATAAATATTAATGTTTTTCGACCGGCAGAGTCGTCTCATTTTTCCCGAATTCCCCACGCATAAGGAGTCCGTAAGGTGACCTTCCGGGTGCGGGCGTTCACCGAAGCGGTCACCTACAGAACAGACTACCTACCGCTTCGCGCGTCTCAACAATGCAGTGCTATTGTTATTCTATAATATTGACATTTTTACATCTGTTTTACTGAGTTTACCTATATTTCTTTATTCATCAGAAGTCAAACTTGCATAAAAATAATTACAGTCAATAATATTTTAATAGGAAAAGCGGTATTAGAAAATGATATAAGGATAATTGATAATGGATATACCATTGGAAAATCCCGCACTAGCTAAACAGCATGCTATATACTATATCTACGCTCATGCACTCAGCATGAAATATAACATAAAATTATTAACAAAATATAATCGATATTTCATAAAAGTGTGATGAGAGTGATGCCTAAAACCAATGTTCTGCGTAAGTGTTTAATAAAATATCTTCAAAAACATTATTACTAGCGTAACTTTTTTATTGGTAGATCGACGGCATTTATTTTTATATTATTTGTTTTAATAAAATACTGGCAACATTGGTTTGCATACGAAATCGTTTTACGAGGAAAAACAAGTTTATGAGCGTTGATAAGATGAAGAGCTCTAGCTGAGAAGTCAGAGATAATTTCTTTTAGATTAAGGGTGACAAACGAACACAGTCCACCTGATGGTAAGCGGATGCTGTGGCCCATAGCCATAGTCTTAGTATTGATAGAGATATTTCGTGGGTGCCAATATTTGAGTTATTTTAAAGTGATTTCTGTTCTTCTATTGGGTTAAATCAATAGTTTTATAAAGCAAATGTTCTTACCTGGTGGCCTTGGATGCGCCGCTACGTGGTGCTGAAGAGAGGTGGCGATTTGGTGGTGTTGGTAGAAGGGAAGAAACGGCGCGTGGAATGGTGCCGGTGGGGGAGGCTGTAGTCGTGCCTTTAACTCTTCGGCGGAGCCTGCCCCCGATGAAGACGACTCTACGTCTGAGACGCCGCTGTCAGCCGGTGAGGGAGGGAGAGAACCTGTCAAAAGATTTATTATACATAATTATTGTATTAGACATAATTATAGGCTATTAAGAGTAAGTTAATTTATTAATTTCATAAAAAAGATATTTATTTTTCAAAATAATAGATTATTTACACAATGATAAGGTATGTTAAAAGTTATTCATAGCATGAAATACATGACGGTTGTATGAATACTATATATAATCTACACTTATTAATTTGTTTCACTTTTTTATTTGGTCATGTTATTATTTATTTGATAAATAACTTTTGTCTGATGATTAAAAAATCGGCCCTTAATGACAACTTAAACATTGCTAAGTCTAAATATTTACCGGTAACTAGGCTCTATCTAAAGAGACTAAGAGCATACATAAGAATAGTTTGTTTATGTATACTCTGAAATTTGAGGACTTCTGCTATTTTAAAAGCAGTTTGCTTTTAAAATAGCAGGTTTGCAACGGTGGTAGAGCCTTGCAGCAGCTTTTGCTGTTGCACGTATGGGCCGGCTCGAGCCGGGTTAGTACCACGACCTCACAGAATACCGGCGTGAAGTGGAAGCTCTGCTTCCGCGTTTCGTCTGGTGAGTGCAGGTGACCGGATGCCCAATTCCCCCCCCCCCCCCCCATCAACATGGTAGCGGAATTACGTCAAAAACTACCCCAGGAGGGTACCAGTACCCCTGGAGAATCCCTCGCTGAGCATCCACGACCATGCTATTCCACTCCTGAGCGTGGGTGCTCAGGCTGCCCCGCGTATTCTGGGGGGGGCAAAATTCCGCTCAACACAATAACTGCTCGGGGCAAACTGAGCAACAAGACCAAGGCGACCCCTGCCACGCTATCCGTGAATTTCTGCAACATCAGGGGACTTCACTCGAACCTAAACGCCGTCCACTACCATCTTGAGACGGCGAAGCCGGCCTTGCTCTTTCTGACCGAGACGCAGGTGTCCTCTCCGGCTGATACTTCGTATCTCTCCTACCCGGGGTACAAATTGGAGCACTCCTTTGTGCCTCGGGCTGGAGTTTGCGTGTATGTCAGAGAGGACATCTGTTCTCGACGCCTCGGCAGTCTTGAAGGTTCGGACCTGTCCATCCTTTGGCTACGCGTAGACAGCGACGACCATCCGCGCGTCTACGTGTGCCTCTATAGGTCCCATAGCGGTAATGCCGAAACAGACCGACTCATCGACCACGTCCAAATGGCTACAGATTCCTTGCTACAACAGGTCCCATCCGCAGAGATCGTGATCCTTGGCGATTTTAACGCCCACCACGCCGAATGGCTCGGTTCACGTTTAACCGATCATGCGGGGAGATCTGTTTATGACTTTGCCTTGGCATATGGTCTGACACAACTGGTTACATCGCCTACGCGGATTCCAGATGTTGAGGATCATACACCTTCCCTGTTGGACCTTCTGCTGACCTCTCATCCGGACGGATATCAGGTTTCCGTCGATGCCCCTCTTGGCTCTTCGGACCATTGTCTGATCCGGAGTGTGGTGCCACTCACGCTCCCTTCGCGGTTGCGTTCTGCAGGTTGCCGCCGTGTTTGGCATTACAGGTCGGCGGATTGGGACGGAATGCGGTCTTTCTTTGCTTCCTACCCATGGGGGCGGGTTTGCTTCTCGCCGGATGATCCCAGCGCTGTTGCTGACTCTGTCACTGATGTAGTGCTACAGGGAATGGAACTATTTATTCCATCATCTGTGGTACCCATCGGAGGCAGATCTCAGCCTTGGTTTGGTCGCTCCTGTAAGACTGCATTACGCAGTAAGCAGGAGTGTTATCAAGCCTGGGCTGCGGCTTCGGTGACTCGGGATGTAAACACCAGCACACTCAAAAAGAAGTATAACTTCGCCTCCAGGTCCTTCAAAAGAGTTATTGCCAAGGCAAAGTCAGAGCACATAGGCAGAATTGGCGAGAAACTAGTTCGCCTTCCTTCGGGAACCCGTGCATTCTGGTCTCTCGCCAAGGCTGTCCAAGGGAATTTCTGTAAGCCATCACTACCATCTCTGCACAGGGAGGACGACTCACTGGCCCACGACGCAAAAGAGAAGGCCGACCTTTTAGGCTCCCTTTTTGCGTCCAACTCGACTGTTGATGACGGGGGGAACACACCGCCGACCATCCCGCGGTGTGAGTGCTCCATGCCGGATGTGCGATTCTCACAGCGCTCGGTTCGCAGAGCACTCCTCTCCCTTGACATCCACAAGTCGAGTGGGCCTGACGGAATCCCCCCAATTGTGCTGAGGACGTGTGCTCCGGAGTTGGCACCGGTTCTAACGCGTCTTTTCCGGTACTCCTACTCCCTAGGCGTAGTCCCGAAATCATGGAAGACAGCTTTTGTCCACCCGATCCCTAAAAAAGGCGACCGCTCAGATCCGTCCAACTACAGGCCTATCGCCATCACCCCCTTGTTCTCCAAAATAATGGAATCCGTTGTAAACTGCCACCTCATGCGGTACCTTGAGGATCACCAGCTGATTAGTGACCGCCAGTACGGTTTTCGTCGGGGTCGATCAGCTGGTGATCTTCTGGTCTACTTAAGTCATAGATGGGCGTTGGCAGTAGAGTCCAAGGGGGAGGCATTGGCCGTTAGTTTGCACAAAGCGCTTCTTTCGAAGCTCCCTTCCTATGGGCTTCCCGAGAAATTATGCAATTGGATCACCAGCTTTCTTGCAGATCGGAGCATCAAGGTCGTTGTAGACGGTGCATGCTCCGACTACAAGCCTATTAACGCTGGTGTTCCACAAGGCTGCGTGCTATCACCAACGCTGTTTCTTCTGCATATCAATGATATGTTGCAAGCTGGTAGCATTCATTGCTATGCAGATGACAGCACTGGTGATGCTCTATACACCGGCCGTGCCAATATTTCTCGGGAAAACGTCACCGAGTACCGGAACAAACTTGTGTCTGAAGTCGAGTCTTTGCTGGACAAAGTCTCGGATTGGGGGCGACTAAATCTAGTCCAGTTTAATCCTCAGAAGACACAAGTTTGCGCGTTTACCGCTAAAAAGAACCCCTTTGTCGTATCTCCTCAGTTTCAAGGTACTCCCCTTGTTGCCTCAGCCAGTATCGGAATCCTTGGCGTCGACATATCGAGTAGCGTGCAGTTTCGTGGTCACTTGGAAGAGAAGGCCAAATTGGCCTCTAAAAAGCTTGGCGTGCTCAGCAGAGCGGGACAGTATTTCATGCCGGCTCAACGCCTGCAACTTTACAAGGCGCAGGTTCGGCCTCACATGGAATACTGTTCCCATCTCTGGGCTGGGGCTCCCCAGTGCCAGCTTCTTCCACTTGACCGCATCCAGCGCAGAGCGGCTCGAATCGTCGACGACCGAGTCCTTTCCGATCGGCTCGACTCATTGGCACTGCGAAGAGATGTTGCATCTCTTAGCATTTTCTTTCGCATTTACCATGGGGAGTGCTCTGAGGAATTGTTCGGATTAATCCCAGCCGCCAAATTTCACGAACGCACATCGCGGCAGAACCTCCGATACCATCCACACCATCTGGATGATTGGCGGTCCACCACTGTGCGATTTAGAAGATGTTTTCTTCCTCGCACAACTTCCTTGTGGAATAGTTTACCACCAGCGATTTTTCCGGACCGATACGACTTAGGGACCTTCAAGAAAAGAGCCTACTCCTTTTTAAAAGGCCGGCAACGCATCTGCAATTCTCCTGGTGTTGCGGTTGTTCATGGGCGGCGGTAGTCACTTACCATCAGGTGAGCCGCATGCTCGTTTGCCCCCTCTCATATAAAAAAAAAAAAAAAAAAAAAAGTTTAATAATGCGATTGTAAATGCCTTTGGTGATTGTGGCAATTATGCCAAAGCCTCCTTTAAGACACATTTATGCAACGCTATCTAAGCTGTTAACGGACGATGAAGGAGAAAGAGAGTGTACCAATTTTACGAATATTGTCTGAATGTATGTAAATAATAATGATTTCTTATATTTACGCGAATACTACAAATGAAAATAAAACTAATTTTAGGAATTTTATTGTTTAATTTTAACCTTTTTAATTCGCGACCTTTTGGGTACTTTGATTTATGTATGTGTGTATAACGTCACGAGGATGACCTCGTGACGTTATACACACATACATAGTTAACTAGTTTCCTTCAATTTTTATTTATTAATTTATTAATTAATAGTTGAAGTTGAAAGTAGCCTTCGTTTTTGCACTATGAATATGATCTAGCACATTATGAGTATGAGTATGAGTGTTGTAATGTAAAAATTAATTTCTCAGAAACTATATAAATGGAAGTGACCACCGATATAACGGTCGCATGATGGATCCTTTTGAACAAACAATGCTAATCCTAACCTCCGCTACTGAGAATTGTAAATCACGTTGCATCATGATTTAAAATTAAAAAATGATTTTCCATATAAATAGTTTGAATAGTATAAACAAAAAGGCACCTCAGCACAATGATGCAAGTTTCGAGTAATGCATAGTTTTTAGCAAGTCCGTGTCAATGTAAAAAAATGAATATAGTACAAAGCGTTAATTGTTGAGATTGCTGTCGTAACTATAATACACTAAAGTTATGCATGTAGGATTAATATATTCATATATAATCATCAGATATATTGGTAGTGATATGTATTGATTCATAATGTTGTATCATAATATATTTTGTTACATATTAAATGCTTATTTTTTTATATTTTAATCTTTTAGAGTTTCTCTCAATTTGATTGCTACATCTACGTCAAAAGGTCTGTCCTTTGTAACCTCAGATTTAAATAAATAAAGATATATACGTAAGTATAAGATATGTTTAAAAATATCTTTGTTATCCATCATTCCATTCCGTCGCGTGGGTGTCGTAAGAGGCGACTATTGTAAATGTTATAATAATCTAAAGTTTTTCAACTTACAATAGATGGAGGTGTTGAATTTAAAAATGACAAACCGTTAAAATTAAAATGATCGTTAAAATTTGAATGAATCTGCATTGTCACATCTAACGGTCATCTGCAAGTG